TGGATTGGGAACCAGACTACCATTATGCACATATACAAACATGAACAAGTACACGATCTGCGGCTGTGTAGTAATTCACTAATGCTCGAGTGATACGCACTAATGGCATGTTTTCTACGCCCCTATGCTCGTATGCGCTAGTGCTAGTGAGGAAAACGCAGATATGGCATGTTGTAACTTTTTGACCCTCTTTTGGGGGTACCAAAATTGTTTTTTTTTTCAAAACGAAACCATTTTTGTTTTTGTTTTTATGTGACGTCGCAATTAAAGCAGGCACTGAGTACACCACCATCTTTTCCTCCTAAAACGTTGGTTAAACTGGTCAGAAATTTCCTCCGGATCGCACCACAGAGCATCTAGAATCCAAAAGTTTTTTCGGGGCTCTTAAGGGCCCCGAACCCCACGCCGTAATTTTTTTGAGTCACTTTTTGGGGGACCAAATGTTTTTTGCCCCCCCCCCCCCTAAAAAATAAATTGTGTTTTGGATCCGCTCTTGGGGAAACGCAGGTACATGTTTTCTACACAGCTTGGTTTGTGCGTTTATGTCTTTGGTGGTTTGTGCCATTGATCTCAGACTGTGTACAATGGTTTGTCTGCGTATGGAGATCAAATGGGTTTGGTCATGGGTTTGGTGCATGCAGTCAATGAAACGTGTTTGGCGCCCTCAATATTGAGGGCGCCAAACACAGTTTAATTGCCAAACACGCAGCTGTCTTGTTGTGGATAGTTTGTGTACTTTTCTGCGTTTGTGATTATGGGTCTTTGGTTGAGACCCTCCCACTCCAGTTTCATGCTCTTATTTCATTATCGTATTTCTAATATTCATAGGACTGCAGACATGGTGTAAACCTCTGTCTCTCCGTTCCTTTGGAATATTGAGGAGTCTTTGGATGAACTCGCGTTTACTTCTGGCATGTGTAGCTTGCAAACCTTCACGTGGGCTTGATGATCATTTTCTGTTGTTGTTGGATGAGCCTTAGCAATGTCATCGCCGATCGCATCATTTCGCATGTCATGACGGCGGTGCAGTGGGGGAAGTCAACTAATTTTCCCAAGGTAGAAGAATTGCCTTGATGTCAGTGTTTGCCTTACTGGAAAAAATGTTGCATCCTGAGCTGACGACACTTCTGCGATTGTGTGTGTGTATGTGTGTTAGGGTGTTCTCGTGTAGTAAAGTTTTCGAGTGTGAAATTGAAGTTTCAAAATGCTCTTATTTTAACCAGAATTAATTTCCGGGGCTGAAATTTGGACTAAATATCCCTTTTCTAAAACTCTTCCATCTGCGACAAATCAACCTACCTTGGAAATTCCTAGTTTTTGAGTAAAATCCATATATCTATTTCGTGAAATTCTTGTGGAGACGTATTCATCTAGACTTTAGAAATGTTCTTCTGGAGACGTATACAATCTTTTGTTCCCTATTGTGTTCATGTCTCCGTACGGTAGTAAATTCCAGCACAAAGAAATGTCTCCACAGGAATACAAATTCCAGAATGTGTGAGTTTGCGTGTGTATAAAGTAAAGGCAGTGGATATGCACTGAACATGCGCAGTTACTGTTTTTTTGTACTTAAACATTTTCCGGTGACAAATTTTAGTCTGGCTCCATGCCAATATTATCGTTGTATTTTTGTATTTACAAGATGGGAATCAGACCATTTTATAATTTCGGACTTTATTTCCCTTTAAAAAAAAATCCTCCAGAGCCACAAATCTGAAAAAGAAAAAGTAAATGTTTGAGACATATTAAAATAATAAAAGAAAAATATTCTTATTTATTTGGGGATGGGAAAAAAAACCCTTAAAATTGTTGCGGGGTTCAGGATTCGAACTCGGGACATCCCACTCACTAGAGCCATTGCTTAACTACTGCACCAACTGTGCTACACAACTTTGGTGGGAATTTAATAACATGTTATAATTCAGCCCTATCTTAAAGAGTACAGCGCCCTCTGTTGATATGGATTGCCGCCGGCAAACCTTAAGTAAACGTTAGATTGCCGGCGTTACCTCCGGCAAAATATCCACTACCTAAAGTAAAAGTCTATGGACACGAATGAGAGTCAAAAAAAAAATGCTGAGTTATTTTCCTAACACAATTGGGAATGTTAATTCTCAGCATGCTCAGTGCATGCATGCAGTCCCAGATTTATGTTGTTAATATCAGTATCATCATCTTATCATCATCATGTATAGTAGTGTAGGGCCCCTGTTTTGTTTTGATCAAATTAGAATCAAATTTTTTTTTTATTTCTAAAAAATGATGTCAACCTAAAGCAGACTTCTCTCAATGTAATGACACCTTTTTGAATGTTGGAAATTTTTAAACACTAGTATTAGAGAGAACTGCACAAAGACAGAAAATGTCTCATTTTCCTATGATTACTGTTATTTTTTGCTCAAACAGCTGATAAAAATCCACCAGTCTAAGTAAGTTCTCTTGGTTGGGGAGTCATTTGGGTGGTAACGAAGCAGTGGACGAGGCAATCAATCGAGCACACCATTGAGACATGGATCAACCTCCACTGATTGACGGAGCTGTGGTGACTAAGATTGACACCATTGATGATAAAGTAAGTAGCAAGTTTGAGTCCTGTATGGGTTTGACCTTGGTTCGATTCCTCTTTTGTTCCAAGGTGTAGCCTTAGTTATCCTTGAATGAATTGAAAAGTTTTTGGTTCAGATCCTACTGCTTGTTTGGTTTGATTCCTTTTTATTTCAAGTTGTAATCTCAGTTATCCTAGTAGGAATTGAGAAGTCCTTGGTTCATCAACTTCATGCCTAGTCCGAAAATTGGGGACTCTATGTATGGGGCATTCATCCAACATGAGACAGAATTGCGCACAGGCCGTGAGGCAAAAAAAGAAAAATAGTGGGTCTCTGGTCAGACCAAAGTTCTGGACTTGATGTAGTGATGCGTTTAAAAAAATATTCTTTGTCCGTACCATCCAAGCTTGGGAAAAAATAGCAAAGTGGTACTGCTTTGTTTGTTTGAGTTCTCAATATGGTGTTACATCATTTGCCTTGGTGCCCTTGTGCTACAGAAAATTTTAAAGAAAAAAGAAATTAACTCAACAGATCAAAATTGACGCACGACAATTTTTTTAGGGCTGAATGGACAATAATCAGGGGTGTGAAATCTCAGCTTTATAGCTGATTTCAGCTATTTTTGTTTTGGATTTCAGCTATTTTCCCTCACTTGCTGTGTACAAAAGTATTGGGGATTTCCAAAGTTCAGCTTTTTTTACACCTTTTTCAGCTGTTTTCAGCTATTTTTGTCAGAGGTCACTCACACCCCTGAATAATACAAGTGGGGGACTTTTGTTTTCTTTTTATTTTCAGATTGAGTGATATTAATAACCTTTGATAGTCACTACTTATGTTTTAAGGAAATTGTATAAAAAATATGAAGTATAAGGTCTAAGGTAAGGCTGAAATGATACATCGATATATATCGGTGCATCGCAATACATTCGTTCACGATACGATATATCGGTACGAATGTTTGATATCGATATTATTAATAATAATATAATAAAAAACAGCGACAGCGCACTGAAACAAAATTGCAAGCAACTGCGATGCATGAGAAGCACGAAATGTAAAAATAATAGTGCGAAGAGTTGAAGTCTCACCTTTCCGAGCGCACGCACGTGAAAAGTTCATGCGGACTCTCCTGCGGCTTATACGCAGGGCGGCTTATACGCCAAGCCTTGAAGAATAAAAATAAGATTCACATGTGTATTTAATGTACTGGTACAAGAAGAGATGTGTTGCTGAAATGAATTATCAATTAATAAAGTTATTAACAAACCGAAACCAAAACCGAGCGGTAAAAAGTACGGTGAAAGCTGTCTTAGACGCTTGCGACCAGCCGTACGTGATACCATGGAGGATTCCTCCATCGTGAGACTAGTGCAGCTGCTACCATGGAGCATGCTTAATTCCCCAGCGGACCACACCATTTGTGGTTATGAAGGGGTGGTGTTTTTTCTTGGGAACAATAATCACCAATATTTCTGCTGATTAAAAAAAGAAAAATGACGACTAATACTTGTTATGGTGTTCGAAATATTTCTTTATTAAATAATGAGTTGTTCAACGTCACAATATATATTTTGTTCTTGAAATGTATTCAAGAAACGATGTAAAACTAAAAAAGGGGACTGAATCACCCCTTGCAAAATTAATGGATTCGCCCATGAAAATGTCAGCAGCGCATCGTTTCCTACGGCGCTACAGAACAAGATCTTTGGTTTTGATTTTTTTAAGTTTTATATTGAAATACCTTTATTGACATTTAGTTAAAATGACAAAAAGAAATAAAATACAATGTACAGTACTCGGTAGGTTGTTAAAACATTAAAATACAAAAATTACACAGTGGGAGGGTGACATCACAAATCAAACAAGCAACCTAGGACTCAGGCGTAAAAACAAGGGGATAAAACCTTGAGGAGGCCTGGCAAGGCAACAAAAATACACCAATTGGAGGGAAAAGCATGAAAAGGGGAAGAGCAAAGGAGGGGAGAATGGGAGGGTAGGGATAGGGGTATGGGTGGGGGGAGGGGGCTGGCTGGAGGAATGGGTGGGGGAAGGGAAGGGTGGGTGGGGAGGTGGGGAAGGATTTGGGTATGGGGGAGAGTTTACAGTGAAATAAAATCAAAATTGCACAAAAAATCCTACTGTAATGGGTTGTAAAAGAAAACACAATTATCTTTTAAAATAGGCAGAACTGTACATCGAAAGACTTACTGGATAAAATTCAATAAGAGAAAAGGAAAAAAATGTCTTACATGATCTAAAAACGGTAAAAAATATGGAGAAACAATGATAAGATGGTCGGAGGGGGGAAACCAACCCAGGCACATGTTTAGCGAGCATCAAGGAAATACATAAAAATGGGCACATGAATTGCAAATGGTTATAGCATTGTAAATGCAGATATACGAGATAAAAATACATATGAATTGGCACATGAAATGCTAATGGTTATAGCATTCAAATAGGGATTTCATACACACGTTTATCATGGTGGTAATAGATAAAGGGCTTGTGGGCCCAGTCATCCTCAACTCTACGATTGGAGAAAACAGTGTATGAAGCATTAACCACAGTTCTCACTATGTCAGTTAGGAGGGACTTGATCGTCCGCTTTGATGTTCCCGGCATGAGGATGGACATTGCTGCCATGAGGTCATGCGGATGATAGTGACCCAAAGCACCCACCTCAAGTGTCACTAAATCAACGTCTTCGAAGTGTTCGGAGAGGTCGGCCACTAGTCCCAGGTATTTGGTGGACTTGCGAATTTTAGCATTTTCCAGGTTGGTGGTGCTGTTATTTGGGATTGTCAGTTCGCCGACAATGCCTCGAGATTCCCCACATTGTAGGAAAATGTCAGGGCGTAAGTTGGTGGTGCAGACGGATGCAGGGATGGTGCTTTGCTCCGTGAGCATGCCTGGGAGGTCAACCCTCAGGAGGAGTTCCTGCTCGCTCTTCTCGGTGTTTATGGCTAAGTGTCTGGCGATGCATTTCAGCACACAGTCGTGTCTCCAGGTGTAATGACCTAGGGTGAGGGCTTTTTGGCATGCGCTGAGGATGTGAGCTAGGGTACATCTTGGCTGATGACATAGCCCACACCTAGTGTCGTGTTGAACTTTCCATCTTGCAAGATTAACTGGTGAGGGAAGAGTGTCACAGCCTGCTCTAATGAGGAATGCGAGTTGGCCGCTAGGGAGGGAATAGCGGACGCATTTCCATGCCTCCGACTCATCCTCCAGGACGATGATATCGAGCAGTTTGGATTGCACTTGAAGGTCTTGGAGTTGACTCTCCCACTGGTCATCGTGGTCAGTGCGGACATGTTGTTTGATCCACCGGGAGGGAGGATGAGGGTTGGTTGCCGGGTCACTGCTTACCAAATCTCTGACTTTGTCGACGGCAGAGCGAAAGATTTTGGGCACAGCGCCTACCCATTCATCTGAGGTGGTGCGGCTATAAAGCGAGTCTGTTAAGTTTTGGGTTATCATGGGATCTCCTCCATTCTTGAAAATGGAAAGACTCAGGTTGATTTTGCATTTTTGTTCCAGTTGTGGAAGGTACGGAAGGTTGAGAGTTTTGGTGTGGAACATCGCTGCCAGGGTTGTACACTTGACCAATTTCAACCATTTTTTGAGTGTTTGTGTGAGCTTGCGCTGGAGGACTTTCAGCTGATTGGTGGACATGGATCCCACGGCTAGTGCGAATCGGATGGCAGGGCAGAGATAATTGGCGTAAATCCAAGTCTTATACTCCGGTTTCACTGGTCATTGGTTGATGTTTTCCATGGCTGTCAGCACTGTTTCTCCAATGTTGGCTGCTGATGAACGTTTCGTCTCGCTGTTAGTTGCTCCTATTACAGCACCCAGGAATTTGGTGGGGTTGTCACAGACACTTGTTATTTTCTGCCCACTGATGGTAACTGAGGCAGATCTGACAGGTTTGGGACCGGATTTGCGCAGGTGTGTGCATTTATCCGGGCGGATTTCCAGACCGACGGACTGGAAAGACTCATTCAGAGTAGTCAATATATCCTGATGAGGAGTCTGTTGCCGGGTGATCAAGGTTAGATCGTCCACGTAGGCGAGAGCGATGATTGGATCCGACTTGGCGAATTTCACTTTTCCCATTTGGTTGTGAACCGCTGGGAGTTTCCTTGTCGGTGGAGTTTCAGAAGGGGCGCGCAAAATTTTGTCTCTTTTCCACGCGAGGTGCCATGGCACGTCATGGAGATTCACCGTTTCAGTTGAACCGTCGGTATAGCGGATGATTGATGATCCGTCGTTCACATGCGTTTTGACCCGACAGTGGTACCAACCCGCTGCATCCTCACACTCAGAGTCTGTAGGCTGATCATCCCACTTGACGTAGAGGGAGGCACCCTCAGGTGGTAGGGCGGTGGAGTTGGGTATCGGCAAGGTGAGGGAAACTCCTTCATGTTGATGGCGTTTCAGCATGCTGATTATTGGGTTAAACGCTAGGGTGAAGATCAGTGGTGACAGCGTGTCGCCTTGAAAAATTCCTCTGCAGATGGGGAATTGGTCGGTACTCCAGTTGCGGGTTTTAATGTATCCCTGCAGTTCGCTGTAGGTGGAGTGGATATATCGTATTATAACACCTCACCCACAGATTCTGTGTCTTGATTGGCCGAGAGCGAGTCACATGTTACTTTCTAATTTTGCTATCTTTCTGTGCACGGCCAAAAGCACTATGCACGTCACGTGCAGCGGGAAAATGTTGTCATTCCCCGGCGCATGCTGCCAGGCCATGCATTAACTTTTAAGGCCGGGGACCGGACGGGGCAGCCGGCAGCAATTCCGGTAGTTTATTTCTCATCATCAATGTCCATATTTGTTTGTAAGAGTATCGATTGTAAATGATTTGATATAACTTTTGTGGCCCTTTTTATAGCTCTGTAGTGGAAATGGAACTGGTTCAGAGCATTTTGACTAGAATTTAGAGGCCTTACAAAATTGAACCGCTGCGGTCAGTGCGGCTTTATACGCCGGCGCGGTGCGGCTTATACGCTGACTTCAGATCTTAATTTGTAGATTTTTGCGTGCTGCGGCTTTGTCTACGACGCGCAGCTTATATTCCGAAAATTACGGTAGTACCTTACTGTATTTGTGTATTATCAGAAACGAGTAGAGACAGATTAAAGAGGACTTAGACCCTGATTAAGTTCATCTGTTTTGATTTTATTTATTTTTTTATACCAAGATATATCGCGATATATATCGTATCGTTTGATATGTATCGTGATACGTATCGTATCGTGACACAGGTGTATCGTTTCAGCCTTAGTCTAAGGCATGTTTAAAGTAAAACCAATGAGCTTGTTTCATTGTTTTTGTCATGTAATGCTGCGGCCGGTTGAGGTGGAGTAGAGGGCGCTATTCAGGACTTTCTTCTGTCATCTTGCAAGATGTAATGATGCCAAGTCACAATAAATTTATATTTGCCGGATTCGTTTGTATCAAAGGCATCCTATCCTATCTACAAGGATGGGACTAATAAGGGAGCAAAGACACTTCTTCAGTGAAACAATAATTTATTCTTAAAAACTCCAAGAGTTCTCGGAACTAATTTGACATCTGTATTTATAGGACTCAGCTATCATTGCTTGTTCATCTGTCATCCGCTACGAATACCGCAAAATCTTTGTTTGTATACACGTTATCCGACGCAAACTGGTTAACCTATTTTTTTTTAACCTAGTTCCACTCGAATTTGCAGGATAGCTAATAATGAAAACAAGTTAATGTCTCAATCAGTATCAAACATTTTTTCCCAAATTGACAATATTCAAATTTCTTGACCAGGTGATGGCAGATCTACCAGTTCACTTCACATCAGAGAGCTCTCTTGAGAAGCACTATAGAAGCACTATAAGGCCCAGGAGAAGGACTGCTTCTCACGGCTAGAACAGACTCAGACCAGAGCTCTCTTGAGAAGCACTAAATGGCCCAAGAGAAGGACCGCACATCACTACCTTGCTGGTACTTCACAGGGATGGAACAGACTCAGACCAGAGCTCCCTTGAGAAGCACTATACGGCCCAGGAGAAGGACCGCCATCAAGTACATCGATCACTACCTTGCTGGTGCTTCACAGGGATGGAACAGACTCAAAGTACTGCAAAGTAAGACTTTTTCATATTTGAAGAGAAAATGCTCTAACTGTACTTTAAAATGGTTGAGGGAGTAACAGCAAAAGATCTTTCTTGCCCGATTTTTATGCTCAGCACAATAAAACTAAGACAGAAAAAAGTGAAAAATCTGTCAAAAGCAGGATTCATCACACTGAATGTTTTGGGGGACTTTTTGATCGGGTGCGACCCGATCACCTTTTTGAAATGGTAATAATTATTCTTTGGTGTTTTTATTCTGGACAATAATTCTTTACGGGTTTTCTCCTAAACCTACGTGAACTCGCTCCGTCAACTTTACTTCCGGGTCTACTGGAAGGTCAAAGTAGGGTGAATTTAAATTACAGACAGAATAGCCTCAAAATCAAAACGAACCACATCTTTTCCAAACTGTTCACGTGATGACGATAAAACCTACATGTAGATGGAATTTGAACCCTGGTCCGAAGATGTACAAGAAATTGTGATGTCATCATGACATCACCTGGTAACAAATTACAAGCGGGTTAACATGAACATTTGAGAGCTTACTTTTAATTAGGCTATAACTTTATAACGGAACAGAGTAGTATTCTAATTTTTTGTTGTTTCAGACATTGCTACTGGCAATATTTTGTTCCAGCATGTCCAGGGCGCATACCATTTGACCTTTACTTCCAGTGTAACCGGAAGTGCAATGATAATAAATTTAACTTGAAGACGGAAGCATTTTGCTACAGTTATATAAATTATGCAAATATTTAGTGAGGAATGTCCAACACAAACATTGGCATGATGACATAATTACACGAAAGGGCGCGTACCAGTACATTCACGCAATGCGTCTCTCCAACTAGGGCTCTCAAAAGTTGTCAAAAAGGGACAATCTACTGTTTGTGCACATAATCTTTATAATCAGCCTAGATATACATGCACCTAGGGCATGTAGGGCCTAGTACTTTTCAATCATATTCTCAAAGGTGGCTTAAGTTCAAAACATAAAATGCACTCAAATTTGATCAAATTGTCTACTCAGATTATTTATTTATTTATTTATTTCAACCGGATCCAACAGGGGCCAAATCGCCAATTACAGTAGCACCAAAAATAATTGCAAACCAATAGTGTCACCAGAGTTACCCTTTACATCTTGCGCTTAACTTTCCAGGTTGTTAACTTGTTGAATGCCTTGTACCGTAATTTCCTGCGGATAAGACGCGTCTTATCTGACTTTCTAGACCACAAAAACATCGCTGCGCCTTATCTACAGGTGCGCCTTATCTGGTGTCGCTTGAGTTCAAAGTGACAGTCTTTGTGTGAAGAATTCTTTCAATGCCGCAATCAATAATGCGGTCAACCGAGGCTCAACTCTCCAGACATTGTGACCGTATTTTCATTCCGCGATGTGTTGATCCCCCATGATCGTGCTTTCCTTCCAACAATGCCGCAATGCGTTGATCCCCCTTTAATAGTGATCGTGCTTTCGTTCCAACAATGCCGTCATACAAACGTTTTTCTTTGTGGCCGTTTTTTCATTCCGAAAATGCTGCAATCAGAATTACTTAAACGTTTGGAAATCGCATTCACTCAAATTCTATTGTGTGAACATTGAGGGTGTTTATTGTACAGGATATCTTCGAAGTCTGCAAGCCTGAAGATCAAGATGAAAACAGTGCGAGTCGGTAAAAGCGGCTCAGGAAAGCGTACTTCCGGCCCGAGCGCCATGTTATGCATACAGAGACCGCGCGAACCTCAGTGCACGTGTGGCCGAACATTTTGTAGAAACACGCTGCGGTGTATCATCAAGTCCGAGCGGTAAAATCTCGTTAAAATATATATTTCAATGGACAAATACATACACAGAGAAGAGAGATCACGTTCTGAGAATTAATTTGCGGAAATTCTCTTTCTCCACCGATGTATGTTATTTTCTACGATCCAAATTCGTCCTGATACGCTACTGTAGTCATGCACGGAACATCATGGTCCGGTACCGTATGTAGGCCGTAGTCACTGGTTCCTGACCCACATCATAGCTTTGATTCTGTAAGCATGCGATGGGAACCAACGAATACTGATGGCACTGCTGCCGCACGGAATATCGTACAGCGGCATGGCTTCGACGACGTGCATCACAAATGCGTCAGAATTACAGGCCTTTTCGTCAAGATTTAGCGTGTCAAGATGAAATAATATCGTGTAAACGATTATGTTGTGCATGCAAATGGCGTGTGTAATATTACTGTGCGTATCGGCGGCTGAAAATGTGATCGGCAATTTGTTTTCTGTGTACGGTGAGTAATTATACTGACACTGTGACAGCTCGGTTACTTCTCCCACGCGGTCTGGGTAAATTTTCCCGTGTCGAAAGTCCAAGTGCGGACAGTGGTCACATTTGACCATTTCTCATTTTACTATCGTCTCGGTAAAACCTTCCAAAAAAAAAGTCCAGTGCGGACACGGCTTAATTCATCCTCCGAATAGTGTGATCGTTCTAAGGCAACACAATGGCCCCTTTGTGGCGATGTACCGACACCGGGTGACGCCTGGTGTTCTTCTGTGTGCGGTCAAACATGCGTCTTATGGGGCGGTGCGCCTTATCTGTTGGCGTTTGATTTTTTTGGGGGTGATTTTAGGGACCTGCGCCTTATCCGCCGCGCGCCTTATCCGCCGCGCGCCTTATCCGCAGGAAATTACGGTACACGCTGTTCAACGCCATCATTTCCAACTATGACGTCTAAAAGGTAAATATTTTATGTGACCCAGCAGATTGTTTTAACCAGTTCGCGCTGGACTATTTTGACATTGACCAGGCCAAGACTTGGGATTGTTTTCATGAATCTGGATGCCAGATGGCTTCAGGCTGTCATCTACGGGTAGCTCGCTGCAAGCGGGCCACTGACAGACATTTCGGGCCTCGCTTGTTGCGTGTTTATCCATCATCCATTCCGATTACCACAAAACCTTGCGTGTATACACGTTGTCTGATGTGAACTGGTTAAGCCAAACGTGCCATATCACAGGAAGTTATTTTAAAGGGTACTTGCAATATATTATACTTAATACACTTATCCAAGTTCATTTATTATGGTAAATATGCAAAAATGAAATGATCAACAATACATTGACAGAAAGCACCTTACCCGTTACCCCTTAACTTAACTACCATCTTAGATCTGTTTTACTATCAGAGTACTTTACAGGCTATGCTTATACAAATGTAGTCTTGCATATTGACTACTTCGAGTGGCATTATAAAACAGGTCAAGGAGGCTAGTTTGATTATGCCACTCAAAGTAGTCAGTATTAAAATGGAAGGTGCCATAGTCCTTTTAGCCATGTACATGTAGACGGAAAATAGTAAATACTATGTGATGCACACTCTCGGCCACTGAAAAACACAGAATCTGTGGGTGCGGTGATATAATTACAAAAAGTCACTTGCATTATCATTATCAACATTACTCGGCTGTTCGCAGGCGTAGTCATGACAATCACTTATATTCAGCGTTAACATCAAGTGGACTTTGCTGAGTACCTGCGTACATGTAGGGCCTAGATGTAGATCTAGATGACTCGTGTTGACATGGTTGACTTCTGGCATGTCTAGCAAACCGGCGATCGTTTGCTTTTGATAAAGGTGATTTTTGCGCAATAAAAAACATTTTTGACTCTTATTTGATAAAAACAAAACAGGGGGTCTACAATTCACGATCGCCAGCAAACCTTAACGTGGGCTTGATTATCTTCTGTTGTTGGTTGAGCCAATGTCAAGATGGTGGTGCAGGGGGAAGTCAACCAACTCTCCCAATGCAAGTACTGAAGTAGTTAACAATGAAATGTCAGTGTTTGCCTCACTGGAAACAAATTTTGCAACCTGATGGCTGATGCCACTTCTGCGATAGTGTGTGTGTGTGTGGGGGGGGGGGGGGGGGGGGGGGGTGTGTTCCTGCATGGCATTACGCCTGAGGACAGACAACAAAAGGAGCACAAAGGGGCCATTGATCCTCGAAGGAAGGTGCCTATTGTCCTCGAACACAGGTTTGTGTGCTTAGTCTATGGGAGAGTGTTATATTACAGGGACAAAGGAAAACACAAAGCCAATCCTCGGAAGCATAGCAAAAAAAAAGGACGGTGTGTGTGGGTGTGTGTGTATAAAGTCTATGGACATGAATGAGAGTCAAGAAAGTCATTGCTGAGTTACTTTTCCTAACACAATTGGGAATGTTTCTCAGTGCATGCAGTCATAGATTTATGTTGTCTATCAGTATCATCATTTTGGCAATCGTGTATAGTTGTGTAGGGCCCCTGTTTTGTTTCGATCAAATTAGAATCAAGGATTTTTTTATTTCTAAAAAATGATGTTGTCAACCTTAAGCAGACTTCTCTCAATGTAATGACACCTTTTTGAATTTTGGTAATTTTTAAACATAATGCCTTCAAGAGAGAACTGCACAAAGACAGAAAATGTCTCATTTTCTTATGATTACTGTTATTTTTGCTCAAACAGGTGATAAAAATCAACCAACTAGTTCTCTTGGTTGGGGAGTTATTTGGGTGGTAACGAAGCAGTGGACCAGGCAATCAATCGAGCACACCATTGAGACATGGATCAACCTCCACTGATTGACGGAGCTGTGGTGACTAAGATTGACACCATTGATGATAAGGTAAGTAGCAAGTTTGAGTCCTGTATGGGCTTGACCTTGGTTCAATTCCTCTTCTGTTCCAAGGTGTAGCCTAAATCCTTGAATGAATTGAAAAGTCTTTGGTTCAGATCCTACTGCTTGTTTCTTTTTAGGTTCGATTCCTTTTTATTTCAAGTTGTAATCTCAGTTATCCTAGTTGGAATTGAGGAGTAGCCTATTTGGTTCATACCTACATGTGGTCCGAAAATTTGGGACTCTCAATATAATATACATGTATGGGGCATTCATCCAACATGAGACAGAATTGCGCACAGCCAAAAAAAATAGTGGGTCTCTATCTGGTCAGACCAGAGTTCTGTAATTGATGTAGTGATGCGTTTCAAAAAATATTCTTTGCAATTTTTTTCCCAAGCTTGGATTGTGCAGACAAAGTGGTCCTGTTTTGCTTGTTTGAGTTCTCATATGGTGTTTCATCATTTGCCTTGGTGCCCTTGTGTTGGTGCTAAAAAATTGAGGCGGTGCGGCAATAAAAGGCACTGTTGTAGGTACTGGCGAAAATTTTTAAGAAATGATGCAATAGATCAAAATTGATGCATGACTAGTTTTTTGAGGGCCTAATTGAGAATAAAGCAAATGGGGGATTTTTGTTTTCTTTTTTTATTTTCAGCTTGAGTGATATTAATAACCTTTGATATGTCACTACTTATATTTTAACCCTAAAGGGGCCGTGATTTTTTTAGATAGCCTCTAAAAAAATAATGCAATGAAGTAAAAACACAAATATTAGCAAGCTGGTTATTTTAACATGGAAATGGCCCTTGTAAGGAGAGAACATACATGTGCATTATACCACTGGCCTCCACATTTATGTAAACACCCATATACAACCAGGCCTCCTATCCTATCTACAAGGACTAATAGGACCTAAGCGACTAATAGGCCTAAGGGAGCAACTTTTTTTAGACGCTTTTTCTACAGTGAAACAATAATTCATTCTTAAAAACCCCAAGAGTTCTCTGAACCATGCCAATTTGCCAATCAGTATTTATAGGACTCGGCTATCATCAAATTCAGCTCGAAAACTGGAAAATACAAATGTACTTGTCTGCCCAGGCTGTACATAAACTCCCCCATTTCTTAACTGGACTTAATTGAGTTATTATTATTGTTATTATTATTATATGTATTATTATTATGGTTTATTTATTTATTTGAATTAAAAGCAGGCCATAGGCTGAAAACATTCAAATTTACAATGTGTATTTTACTTAAAAACTAATTAGAATACAATCAATACATCTTTAAATTGTAAATTAAAAGGTACAAATCAAAACGGGAGAAATTATTCATTATCATTAACAGACTTCTAAAGATTGCTAAGATAAGACATTGCTGATTAAAACTGAGTGTAAAACTATTTAAAATTATCGTTAAAAAAATGAGAGTGGATCACAGAGGCTTTACTTATTATTGACAGATCACTAAAGACTGACGGATCAATTATAATACACAGAGCTGAGTTATACGGACAATTCTTGGATTTTTTTTTCTATTTTCAAATACATGTACAGACTTTGTTGCTAGTTTAATTATGCTTTGGATGCACACTCACTTTGTTACAAGCAAATAGCAAAATAACCCTTATTCAGACGTCCAATTTTCATACAATTTCCAGAGCAAAGTTTGGAGGCTGGTTTGTACACGTTTGAATGTAACCAAATTCCAACATGCCATGGCAATGGTAACAGGCAAGCATGATAAGTCGTTATCGGCGATATCGATATCAAACCAATATCGATAAAATTGATATATCGATATATCGACTGTGCTTAGTTAGCTGTCAGTCACGCAGCGCTTAGCCTTTAGTCAAGTCCCACGCGCTTACCCGGCACGTGAGGCACCCCAGATGCTGACACGTAAAAAGACTAGCACGAGTGGCAAAGCCGCGAGGGCCTTTACCATCTCGTGGAGAATGCTTATGTTTTTCCTTACATTTTGTCTACCGATTTGGTAGACATGCATTATGCATTACCCGTTGTGAATTGACCAATGACAGTGCAGAATTACTAACGTAACTCAGCCGTCGTCTGGCACACAGACAGCAATATCAAACACTTTTCCCAAATTGACAATATTGAAATTTCTTGACCAGGTGATGGCAGTTCTACCAGCTCTCTTCACATCAGAGAGCTCTCTTGAGAAGCACTATAGAGGCACTATAAGGCCCAGGAGAAGGACTGCTTCTCATGGCGAGAACAGACTCAGACCAGAGCTCCCTTGAGAAGCACTAAACGGCCCAAGAGAAGGACCGCACCAAGTACACATCTCTACCTTGCTGGTGCTTCATCACAGGGATGGAAGAGACTCAGAACAGAGCTCCCTTGAGAAGCACTATGCGGCCCAGGAGAAGGACCGCACCAAGTACACATCACTACCTTGCTGGTGCTTCATCACAGGGATGGAAGAGACTCAGAACAGAGCTCCCTTGAGAAGCACTATGCGGCCCAGGAGAAGGACTGCACCAAGTACACATCACTACCTTGCTGGTGCTTCATCACAGGGATGGAAGAGACTCAGAACAGAGCTCCCTTGAGAAGCACTATGCGGCCCAGGAGAAGGACTGCACCAAGTACATCACTACCTTGCTGGTGCTTCGCAGGGATGGAAGAGACTCAGAACAGAGCTCCCTTGAGAAGCACTATGCGGCCCAGGAGAAGGACCGCACTAAGTACACATCACTACCTTGCTGGTGCTTCACAAGGATGGAACAGACTCGAAGTACTGCAAAGTAAGACTTTTTATATTTGAAGAGAAAATCATACTGTACTTTAAAACGGTTGAGGGATTAACAGCAAAAGATCTTTCTTCAGTGCTTAAGGGTTATTCAGGTAAGCTTTGCTTAATTTGAGTGCGTTCGATTACTTCCCCCACGCTTACTCGTGCAAGCACGACAGCGTTCGATTTACCTCTCACGTGACTTCTCGTGCTTACTCAAGCTTGGCCCAAGTAACCGACTCACCGAGCCAGTTACTTGGGTAAGTATCCCATAAGGCCATACAATGAACACAGCTGCCAACGTGACGTTCGGCGGGCGCCTCAGGCCGTGTCCGAAACAGGCTTCCAGAGCCACGGCTACAGGGCTTGAATTGAACGACGGCCACGACGGCCAGTGTCGTCGTTGCCTTCTTACTGGCCGAGGTGCCCCACAAAAAATCCCTGTCTTCACGGCCAGTTTTGCCTTGCCCCATAATTACCTTGGCCGTCGTGCCCTTTTTGCAAAAACATGCATCAGCCTATTAAAACCATTACAATCCTCTGACAGCCCCTACCCTAATCTTGTTATGGGAAAAATGGCAAAAACCAAAAACCATCAATTTCTGCCTTTAACCCATGACTACACGCAGACTCCTCCATATGATCGTACCAAAAAATATTGGCCAAAAAAAAGTCCCTACCTACATGTACCTACCCTATTTTCGAATGACATGTAATTGGAAGCAGAATTATTTTTTTTCTTTTGGCCTTATCACGGACTCCCAACTCTTGTATTATTATGTAGCGCACAAATTACTATCCCGGAACCAGAGTTTTCCCAATTCTTGGTTTCATCTTCGGCTTCGGGCGATTTCCTAAGCCCTTGATGAAACTCCAACTAAATTTATGTTTTCAAATTTTGTTTGATATTTTCTATATAATCAGAAACAGTTTCAAATGTTGCAATTTGTTAGCGTAAAAAATATTTCAGACCTGAATCCAAACCAGAGATGAAACCGGAGTTCACTTCATGTTAATTGGTACGCAGATCTTTGGTAGAAACGTCCAGCAGAAACTGTCTTTTGGGTACCATGCAGCGTTTTTTAAGTCTTTGGATTTTCATTTCAAACTGGTGCCTTGTGTTCTTTCTTCCATTCTGTAATTTATTAGATGTCGTTCAAATATCACTGACTTAAGCCGGCCTCAGGTCGACCTGCGATTTGCTTGCGCCATGACGGAACCGTCGGCATCAAGCAGAAAAATAATACTAAGATCACAAAACTGAGAAATCGTGTGATTCTCTTGAACAAGCGGCATCCCGATTAAATAATCGCAATTATATAACTGACATATATCCTAGTCATTTGATTGGTGGAACTCACATCACGTGACATTCGTTATTGCTCCCATTCACGCCGCGGCTCAAAAAGTACTATCCGCCCATGGGGAATGGGAAATACTATTCAACAGTTAAGATCATGAGGCGGTATTTGAGTGCAAATGCATGCTGGTGTGCGCGTTCAGCGTTGCGCGTAGCGCGTATTGTTCCAAAGAGCCAGCGCTACAGCGTTGGGTTCAATCATTTTCGTGAAGGGGTATTTGGAAGAGAGAAATACATTTTCCCTCAGTTTTCTATCGCCAAAAAAGTTCAAATATATCAAATGACAAGGATCTATATGTCAGTTATATAAAACAAATATTGAGTGGCTTTAAATTGTGAAATGGTCACCTTGACGCGACGATCCACCACGATTCCACAGCATAGACAGTCATAGACAGACTTTACCAATAAGGGAGTAAATATGTGTTTGGCTGGCTCGGCTCGAGCCATTACCAGCGCGCATTCCCCTGATACGGTCTTAAATGTACTTGTGGTATTCCCATTCACAAATAGCTTTGAGTCAAAAAATCGGCACAAGTCAAACAATTATACATTTCCGATGATTTTGTTGAACAGTTTTATTTAATTTTTTTTCTAAACACCCCTCTAGCTATGGTATGGAATATCCTCTCGTGAGTAGGTAAACAATCGCCTTATATGGTGATTGACGCACGCGTGCTGCGTACTACGTGATGTTGCGCAGAACGCGTGGAGTGCCAGAGTAGTGTGCTAATTGGCTAAACAATTGGAAAGGATGATCTTGATGCGCACACGATCGCAACGTCGTCATAGAAGTTGAAATTTTTCTTCTCTTGCTACTGTTGATTTTTTTTAGACCCGACTAATTCCGATCGTCTTAATATCGTCGCAGTTACACTCAGGTCGCAAAAAATCAGTGACTGAAATCTTCCCGCCGGTGGTAGCTCAGGCACAGCTTGATCCTGAAAAGTCGGTCGTCGACTGATCTGTGTCAGTCGCAAGGTCGACCTGAGGCCGGCTTTAAATTGACTAGAGCACAGATTCTACTTGACTCGATTCGACCACACACTGTTACTCCACTCGACTGGATTTGACTCAAGTCACTTCCTTAAAATGACTCGACTCGACTCAAGTCACAACATTCAGTGTCTCGTTACAACGCTGCAAAGAATAGAATTTGTTCATTGTTTAGCAGATGCCGGTTACCAGCTTCATTCCCATGTGATTATCTTGCTTGGAACTAGTTCTCTTGCACAATTGTTGTCTTGGTAATTTTTCCCATAGATGATGATTTTTCTGCCAATGTTCACTGGAATTGTGAGGATCTGACCAGCCCCGAGGTGGACCGTGTCATCGTCCAGCGACTGAGGGTTGATGAAGTCATTGACGTCCCTTACAGCAAGCTGATGACCTGTTGATCATCAAGGGAATGCGAGACAGTAAGTGATTCCATTTGTGTAGCAGTTCAAGAACGCATAACTAACAAATTTAACAAGCTGTATCTCTGTTAAATTTACAAACTTCAAATGGGCATAATATCACCTACATTGTAGGAAAGTCCGTTTAGAAAATAAAAAGGTCATTGTAAAAAAAAGGGAAGATCTTTATTTTAAAAGGCATATAGGATCATTTGATATTCATGACTTTTGTTCGTTTTCAAATAATAAGACCATTCAAAATCAAAAGAAGAATGTTGAATGCCTAACCTATTGAAGTTTCAGCTCAGTGATACCATTTCCCCCCTAGAAAACAGTAAAAAAAAGAAAAGAAAAGTGCTCAACCTTTTGATCATGAAACATAATTTGTGTGTTTGTAACTCTTTCTTCAAAAATGAGTCGATTGACTGATCGTTGGAAATCCCCTACATTACTCGGTTTTCTAAATGACAGCAAGACAAAAGGAATTATTTTGTGGGGTGTAAAACTTAATACCGCGGTATGCAACATTTGCAAACATCAAAAAACAAAATTACTAAATTATTATGAAATTTCAGTGAATAATAGTCTCAAGTGTCCTATGAAATCATGGCACCTGGTGTGCTGTCATTTTCCAGAAAAGTGGAATTTTTGTATCAATTTCCAATGATTGTCGGACGACCATCGTTGGAAAAACCTGACTGTTTTCAATACTGCCCCCAATTTGCCAATTATAGTTAGTACACATTTTGTTTGCAATCGGTTACACATCCGTGAGTGCGAGAAAGCCAGCTAGTCTGGTTCCCTGACCCTATCGGTACAATTCCCTGACGCCTATAAATTGCTCTGTTTTGTCTGAAGTAGGGTGAGGAAACCATACTACAAGACAAGAACAGCATTTTTTTCTTGGTTTTCCCAGCATCTATGAACACAAAACTTTAAATAGGTCAGTGTTAAAATACTTGCTATTAAATACTTACCCCCCAAATCCTTCTATATCTGAAAATTACAGCAAAAGAAAATTTTGTACGGTATACATGTTTGTACCGGTATGTACACGTTTAAAAACCAGTCTGATCTGATTAAATGCAAATGATCCTATACGCCTTTAACATTATTTTTAAAAACCTGTTAAAATAGCTTTTCAGAAGAGTCGTATTTGATTCAGTAAAAGACGATTTGATTGTACTCAATTTCATTATAGGTTATTGGCTTGTTGTGCCCATGTTTAGGTAATGTTTTGCTCCAGATCGATTCCCTTGAAATCATTCATGTCTTTATGAATGGGTTAAACTGCTTTATTAGAAACCCAAATGCAGAGTTACTGCTAGCATAAATTCCAAGCCACCTGACACCGAGTGTTCCTTCTTGGTTCTCCCCAGCTTTTCTCTCATGAGTCCGTCGCAAGCCTCTCCCCAGCAGGGCGCACTAAATCCTCTAACGTCTCCTGAGTCGTTTCGTCCAAGACACCCAACTAGACACCAAAACGGCCCCGCTGATAGTAATTGATGATGTCCAATGCATCAATGATGACTCCAGTGCTTACTTACGCTTCTTCGGCGGCTACTCTTTGTTGTAGGCATGGGAGGGCTCGGGAAGGGGGCGGAGTTTGAGGCTCTGGAAGGGAGGGAGATCTTGAACAGTCTGCTGTGTATCGACGTCAAGCTTGATGGGCTGGAGTCTAGCAACATGGAACCATTGCTGTGCCAGTTGCTGGAAAGG